TCCGAGTATTCTCATCAAGGACACTCTCGTCCATCGATGAGCTACTGAGAAACCATTCGCTCTCAGTAAACGCTTGTGCCGACCGAATATCGGCAACGTACTCGTCCTCTGTGACGAGTACGCAGATCTGCTTGATCTTGTCACTACGCAGATCTCGCAAGAATCTTTTAGATTCTAGCGTTGGCAACTTGACCACCTCCGAAGCTGAATTCGGAGGTGTAACCAGATTAAGTCTTGTAAGCGCCTACACTTGATCCGTCATTCACTAAGACATTCACTGTCTCGGCAATTTCCTGGGAAAACACATCAGCAGGTGGTTGGAGATCTACACCCTCAACATGACTCTCTCGGGAGTTATCACTCTCAGGAACGCTGAAACTTTCTTCCAAAACGTGTGCTGACTGTGGGTGCACTATCACAGTCACGTCCTCTTCGATCGACTCTCTTTCAGTCGATCGTGTTTGCTTTGCGATCGACTCGCTGACAGTCGATCTCGCTTCGACGTGTTGTTTATTATGGACAACACCAATCTCTCTTCTTGGATGCCGCCTTCTTTGTGTGCATCCGTGTTCCAGTCCACTCTATCTTTTCGAGTGGTGAACCTTCGGCGCAGCCTGTGTCTCTACACAGGTGCCGGAAGCTGGTTCCACAGTGCAGTGGCCTTCTACACTGTGGTCGTGTGCAGTCTTACTAACATCCGTACCACAGGTGAGTCCATCGCACTCACTTGCTGATAGCGCGAAAAAATGAGAATATACCTGTTCGCTTGGCAAAAGGTGCATTAGTCACTGTGCCAAAAGTTCCTTTGAACTTAGGCGCGAAGATTTCGGACTTTGACTGTATCGAGTGCTGATTAGTCCTAAAATTGGATGAGATGCAAGATAAAATCCTTGGTATGGCTTCGCTAGAACGTCATGAGCCATGTATTGATTAGAGGTCGAAGACCTTAGGCGCAACGCACTGTTCCAAGTGGAGCTTTAGAGAATCATGAGCCCACCTCCGCTAGGAAACAGAAATGCTATTGGCACGAGCCACGGAATGAGACAGTCATTGTGATGGACATCGGTATGGCCAAAATCGTTGAGCTGGACGATATCAAAACGTTAGTTACGAGCCAATGTCAATAACTGTCAGTGAGACGGCGCGTACACCGTCGAGTGATGATCGTTGCGATAACGAATCACTGAATGCTGGTTGTATTGTTGGCCCATAGCCGAGTCATCATGGATTAAACCCATCTGGTGAGTGTGGAGTGGCACCTAAGTACCCACTGAGTGATGTTGGCCATGATTGTGACACACTGAATTTCACTCAAGACAATGTTGGTGAAACATCAAGTCATTTAGGGCAACGCCCATTTGATGAGCGTGGAGTGGCACGTAAGTAACCACTGGGTGGTGATCTCACTGTAATTGACTCTTCACAAGATTTCGGAAATGCAATCGGATCGGATATAGATCAAATCGAGGTTGACATAGTTCGTCACGTTGGGGACAGTGTAGTCCCAGATGTCGGCAATGACATCGGTTCAGCTAATAAAAAAATCTAGGTTGACACAGTTCGTCACCTTGTGGGCGGTATAGTCCCGGATGTCGGTTATGATATTGGCTCTGGTAATGAGCAACTTAAGATTGACGGTCACGTCAATCTGGGGACATCGATGTCCCAGATGTCTGTAATTGCTCCGGCTCATGTACAGAGCAAGTTTAGGATGATAATGACATCAACTTGGGAAAGATAATTTTACAGTCTCTTTTAAGTGTTCAGTCTCGTCACAGAGACATCAGCGACGCTAGATAGCTTTTACGCGACGAATGGCGTCTGTTACGAGACTGGGTGATACGAGCGAGCAGCTGTGTACACTCGAAATGGAGTGACTGGTGACTTTGATGGATCAGTGAGTCGTGAGACTCTGCCCTCACTGAATACTCTGTTAGAGCTAGACGGAATGTCTGTCAATGGGTTTGGCCTGACCTTGAAGTCGCGTGAATTTTCCGTAGTGGTGGTCATTAGATCCGAAAGTGAGTTGAACTCGTCTTCACTTCTTAACGAGGCTTTATTAGAAGACACGAAGGCAACAATGAGTGCTAAAAGTGGGTCGTCTACCTTGAAATATCGTAAAGACCCGTTTTATCTTTTGTCGAAGGAGTATTAGCATGTGGTGTGTCACAACCCACCATCTGTCTTACCTCCAGATTGAGGTGTACGTCATGAAGTTGACCTGGTTCCTGGAACCAGATACTGTGTGACACGGCAATGGCACCTATTACAGGAGCAGTGTGACATTCTTGACGAGTTCTTTCGTGCAAATCACGCGGCTGGCATGGTGCGTGATAGCAAGTCTCCGCACCCAACACCGACATTTTGTGTCAGAAAGCAAAATGGCAAGTAACGTATTTGTAGTTCTTACAAAAAGCTTAACGCGGCCAGCATACCGTCACAGACGCCTAATCATGAAGATGTTGTTCTTTGGAACTCTATGGTAGGTTTTACCATGTTCAGTGCACTCAACTGGTTGATGGGTATTACCAAATGCTTATGCTAGCGAGCGATATTTCACTCACAGCGTTTAGTACTCCAAGCGGTACGCTTTGGGAGTGGCCTGTAATGCCTTAAGGGCTGTCTAATTCCACAGCTACATTTAATCGTCTTGTGAAGCAATTTTACCAACTTCACCAAGAATATGCACAAAGCTATTTCGATGACATCTTTGTCCATAGCCGTGCAGATTATGGTAGGTCAAATGTGGACGATCACATAGGCTTTTTACGAGCAGTGCTCGAGTGCATGTGCACGAACAACTGTATGCAAAAGCATCAGAATGCATTTTTAGTGCAGTAGAAATTCCCTTTTCGGGTGCTTCATTGGAAAGCGTGGCCTTCGAGCGGACCCCGCTGTTGACTGGCCGGTTCCGTTGAACCAAAAAGACTTGCGTAAATGGATCGGCCTTGCGAATTACTTGCACAAGTGCAGTGTAAACTACGCTGACATGGCACAGCATTTTACCAAACTCCTCCAGCAGGGTGCAGTTTGGTGTTGGGACGCAGTACGTGCGCAAGCTCTCAAAGCTATAAAGGACAGTCTCCTTCATGATCCAATTTTGGAGTTGCCTGACCCTGAGTGGACTTTCAGTGTCGTCTGTGTCGCGTATGACTATGCTTTTGATTGTGATTATTGAAGACAGATTTTGGTGGACATGAGCGCGTCATAGCGTATGAATCTAGTCAGCTAAAGGCTGCAGAGAAGAACTATCCAGTTCATGACAAAGAGTTACTTGTGATGAAATGTGCTCTTGTCAGGTTCAGAGTCCACCTTCCCGGCTAAAAGCCTTTTGTGATCTTCACATAACATGCGTCGCTACATACTGCGTTACAGTAGCCTCAACTCTCGCAGCGTTTGGCCTGTCGGCTTTCATTCCTTACTAAATACAACTTCGAGGTACAGTATAAGCCGGGCAGGCAAAATGCTTTGGCTGATGCGTTGCCACGCAGACCTGATTATGAGCTTGCTAGTGTTACGACTCTGTCGTCACCCTTTGTGGATTTAATTCGTTTGGCATATGCACTTGATGAGCAATGTGTAGCATTGCTACATGCTCTTGGAAGATAGGTGTTTCAAGACTCGGACATCAAATTGTCGGCACGTTTACGTGCGAGCCTACGTCTATATGGCATCGATGGTGGGTTGTTGTGATATTGCACGGGCGTTAAAGGTGTGTTCCGCATAGTTTTCCCTCATGTTGAATTATCGTATCCTCTTTGAGGCACATGACACTGCTTTAAGCGGTCACACCGGTCGTGAGAAGGCCTATACCTTAGTTAGCCAGACGTGCTGGTGGCTCAAGTTGTACAAATTAGTTTGCACAAATGTGCGTACAAGTGAAATGTGTCAACGGGTCAAACCCTCAGCACCTGCGGTTGCACCGCTTGCTAGTTTGCCTGTACCCACTGGGTGTTGGGAGTCCAGCAGTGTGTACTTTGGGTTTGGCCTACCGAAGGATTCGAACAGCAACACTGAAGTTGTGGTCTTTGGTGACCGTTTAAGTAAGATGTCTGATTTAGCGGCTGCCTGATTCGATCGAAATTATAGGTACAGCGAAGCTGTATTCCGACCGTGTGTTTCGTCAACACGGCTTGCCTGTGTCAGTTGTCTCTGATGGTGATCCACGTTTCGCTGGCAAGTTTTGGACTTTTATCTTCAAGGTGCTGGGCACCAGATTAGACATGTTCACAGCGGATCATCCGCAGACCGATGGTAAAACTGAGCGTGTCAAGCGTGTCATCGGTGACATTTTGCGCAGTGTTTGTGCTGATACGCTTATGCGCTGGATCTCTACGCTCCGTGTGGTTGAGTTTTCAGTAATCAACGCTGTTCATGCCTCTACTGGCTTTACTTCATTTTACGTGAATGGTCTCACTCACCCACGCTTTCCGTTGATGCTTCCCTTGCGACGTTCTGGACTTGGTGAAGGAGGAACAGTAATCAGCTTGATGATGTCAGACCAACTACTGTTTAGAAACAGGTGAGCGAGTGTCTCGCTACGCGATTGAATGTCTTACGACATGGACGTGAAGAAATGGCTGCTAGCCAGGACAAATAAAAGGAATATGCTGATGCCTAAGAAAGAAAGTGTTTTGAGAGTTTTGAGTTTGTAGACCTAGTCTTACTTAACACTAAAAATCTACCTACCAAGGTGGTGTCTGCGGTCTGCGGGACCATGTTGTGTCCTAGCTTCATTGGGCCGTTTACGGTTGTAGTCAAGAAAAGCCTAGCTTACACGCTCAACCTCCCACGCAAGATGCGAATTCACAGAGTGTTTTACGTCGGCTTTCTTTAGCCTTACCTTGATCCGTGGCTGGTGGATCACGAGGCGCTTGCGCCGAAAGTTGGCGATGAAACAAGTCGATAGAACCTTAAGAGAAGATCCAGTTATCCCTCAAGACACGCCACTCGTTCACGCAGACCTTGCATCTCGTACACTCGTCGACGACGCGTCAGGTTTACCGTCCACCACCTGCGTTGACGAGCACGAGGATCAACTGTACCATGTTGAACGTCTGCTGCAGCGACGTCGACGCGACGGGCAGTACCAGTACTAGTGCAGTGGAGGGGGTAACCAGAGTCGGAAAACTCATTGGAGTACGCTGTGCCACTGCGGCAGAATTTTCCGTACACCGTTGACGTTTTAAACTTCGTCTTCAGGGTCAATCGGTCCATAACCGCTTCTCACTAGCCGGTGTGAGAGTGGAGGAGGTTGCCCCAGTTGCAGGTGTACTGAGGCGCGAGTCCGTGGCTGCCGCAGCACAGCTTGTACAATAGAACGGTCGCAGTTAGCCTTTGGCCTATCGTTTAGCGAGATCGAGAAGCATCTTCCATTCGAGCCGAGCGTAATCAATCAAAGCGCACTCTCGGATATTTTATAGGCTTGGTTAACGACGAGCTCTGTGAGCACAGCGCGTAAAGACGACATCATTGTCCGCCTCTGTCTCACCAGGAAAGAGAACGATGGGTATTGTCCGCATGGCGGACACTGATGCAGCTTTGGCTTACAAAATCAGCCTGTCAACGTATTCTTGAGCGATCATACGTTCAACCCTCAAGTATCTCGCTTTGATAGCCTCCCTCTCCGCTATTGCTGTGGCTGTGACAGCCTTGGGTCCTGCGATCCATGTTGCGAGTGAATGCCCGGCATTCTGAGAAAAACGTTCATCCACAGTTAACGGAGTGAAGAGGTAGCCACTGTGAGCATTGGCTGTGGCCACAATATGTGCTTGGAGCCTGCAGTCATCGACCATCTGAAGATCTTTTTCTTGATCTTCATCGAGAGTGTTGTGCAGCACACCCGACGCAAAGTCGACGACTGCATGCTGTGCGATAGGTAAAGGTACCTCATCGCGTTTCACAAATTGATTCGGCGCGATGCGCGTGTTGTCACGCACCGGTGGCGTGGCTGGACGATGGTCGTAGATGCTCGAGACAGCGGTGTCACTCTCGTAGTCCACCATGCCCTTTTCAAAGAATTCTTTCAGGGTGTTGGATGGACGATTTGACTCAGTCATTTTGTAATTTGGTGTGAGCACGGTGATCAAGGACTGAGCTTTGACAGGCCTTAAGCGTAGAAGAGAAATTGTCGACACAATGGTGTCGGCAGTTTGGTGGGGGAGGTTGTAACAAGGTTGCACGCGGTTATTCGAACCGGTTACGTTGTGTGTCCACACCAAGTAAAGATCGGTGGATCTGAATGGTACAGTCTTGGTACCACGTACTTGCGGTAATACCGCACCTTATCGGGTAGGGATCAGAAATTAGACTTCTAACATAGGGCCGTAATGTAAAAATCAGTCGGATAAGTTTTTAGGTTTTATTACCGTAGTTAAAAAATTAATAAAGTCTAATTCTTCATTTGAATCGTTGGACGCTAGTGCCTATTCAAGCCGTAGTAAGTAACGGGGTGAATCGTTACATTACAATTTATAAGAAATTGTTAATAGAATATAACTATAAGAGTGATATTCTCAGAACATTGTCATAAGGACAAATACTCTGTAGCACTTACGAGTAGTTCCTAATTGATTGATATAGGCCATTATATCAACCAACGAAGACGCGCTACGACAGACGCACGCAATGAGTGGTGATCAGATAGTTGATATGCACATTTGTATTCAGACATATTTAGATGAGGATAAACAGTGGTTTATTAACAGACATTAACTATGCTAAATGCAGTTCTACTTTTTACTTTAACCAAGTACTCGCTTCTTCTTACCGTCTTCCTCTGCACGTACGAGTGTACGTGAAGTTCCGAGGCACCGCCTTACTCTGTCATCAGAATAAGCAGCTTGTACTGTCACCAGTACAGCTTCAGGGTGCCCCGTTACACCTGGTAGCACTTCGTAGTCCATCCAAGGACCACGTTCACATCTAACATGAATGTGTTAGATGATGAAGATAACCAAAGCTTTCACGCTACGCGTGACGGCTACTCCCATTTGAGTGATGTCGAATGGGATGCGGTTGAACGGATGGGTTCAACCATGGGCATCCATGCTGTTAGCGTCATACAAGAGGCTCTCAATAGAGATGCCCAACATGCTACTATCGCCAAGCTCATTCAAAACGATCTTGACGCTGAACGCGAGAAAGTAGCCTTGCTTCATCAACAAGGTTCTCAACAAGCAGAGTTGTTGAGAGAACAAGGTGTTCAACAGTTTGAACTGTTGAGACAGCAGCAGGCTGCTGCTGGTGGGTCGATGCACTCGCGTCGACCCGAGACCTTGAAGATCGACATCTCCAAGTGTAGGGAGTCGAAGAGGACTCCCTCTTGAGATGGTTCGTCGAATCGGATGACGCCATAAGGGCGCGTCGCATCGACGACGGGGATATGCCAGTTGCATTTGCCCAGTCAAATCTGGCAGGACGTGCCAAGACTTGGGCACTGGGGCTCAAGTTGCACAATCCATATGCGTTTGGGTCGTTGGAAGTCTTCAAGTCGCGGCTCAGACAAACGTTCGAACCGCCTAGAGCTGAGTTCAGAGCTCGAGCTGAACTCTTGAAGCTTAGACAAGGTAAGCGTGATGTGCACGCTTACGCGCAACATATACGACATCTCACGAGTTGTATAAGTCCCAACCCGGTTGATGAACACACGTTGGTTTCGGTGTTCATGCAGGGTCTTGCGGATGGTCCCGTCAAGACTCACCTGTTCCGACTTGAACTAGATTCACTAGAACAAGCCATTTCCATTGCGGAACAGGAAGACTTCAGTCTGAGACAGGCTCGCGCCAGCTCGACATCATATCGTCAACCGAGACGATATGACAACGGAGGTCCAGAGCCGATGGAACTCTGTTATGTAGAGAGCGAGAAGGCTCGCTCTACAGGCTACAAGAAGTTGCAGAGATGCAACAGATGTCAAAAGACAGGACACTACGCTTACGAGTGTAGTGCCCCTCGTCCAGTGTCTCGCAACACTGGGCGTAATGACCGTCCACCCATGAGAAAGAGGCAGGGACGCGGGTCCGCTGTTGGTGCAAAGACGCAACAACGGGATGGACCGTAAAAAAACGGACAGGATCAGTAGGTGCGGAGCACCCTACTGGTCCAGCAACGTTAAGAGAATTTGCAGTCCTCTTGACGAAGGTTGCTCCCAACACACAATCATTTTGTGTTGCTGCTCTAGGTAATGAGATCTCACTCATTACCTTGAAACTCGAAGTGACGAATAAGTTGTCCCTTCGAGCTCTAGTCGATTGTGGGTCGTCCAACAATTTTGTGCGACGCCAATCGCTAGTAGATGGTCACTTTAAATTCAGTGAATGTGACACACCTCCTACGAGGATGACGGTACGTCTTGCGACAGGCGCATCCGTAACCGTCATGAAGCGTATAGTGAAGATCCACTATACGCTAGAAGATACCCAATATGACGATGACTTTATCGTATTGGATTTGGATGACAAATTTGATGTCATCCTTGGAATACCGTGGCTCAGAAGGTACGAACCACGGGTAAACTGGCAACATCGGACAGTAACGGTGCCTGCCGCTTGTTCATCAGATGGCCATCTGATGAACGTTTTGGAGCGTCCACAAGCGTGTGGATGTACTACGAGTGAGTGCGATGGCCTCACTTGTGGTACGGTCGTTAGTACGACTGCACAAAACCTTAGTGTACCAAACGGTTACACTTCGGAGCAAAGTTCCGGCGGCTGTGAGGAAACACAGGCTGCGCCGAAGGTCCACCACTCGAATAAGTAGAGTGGACCGGGACAAAGATGTATCCCTAGCGGGGAACATCGAGAAGAGAAACAATCGATCGCTCCGGTTAAGCGAAACGATAATCCTAGATCGACTGGAGAGTCTTTCGTAGAGGATCCCGCTGTGGTTGCGCAACCCCAGCTAGAGGAAGTAAAGGGAACAAGTCCCAAGATTACAAATACGGCGGAAATAAGTTCCCCGAAACCCGCGGTAATAAGTCCCCGAGAAGCCGAAGGAATAAGTCCTTTGAGGCCTGAGGGAATAAGTCCCCAGGAAATGACAGAGACATTGAATGTCCTAGTCAATGACGGATCAAGTGTAGGCGCTTATACACTTGATCTGATTGCGCCTCCGAAGTTGACTTCGGAGATCACTCAGTTGCCAACGCTCGAACGTAAAAGGTTCTTGCGTGATCTTCGTAGTGGCAAAGTCAAGCAGATCTGCGTACTCGTCGCTGACGATGAGTGTGTAGCCGACATAAGGTCAGCAACAGTGTTCACTGAGAACGAGAGAGTTCTCAGTAGTTCATCGATGGACGAGAGTGTCCTCGATGAAAAGACACGAGTTTAGCGATATGACTCCCAATCGCGGGAATCGCTCAAGACAAATCCTCTCTATGAAGATTTGGTTGAATTCAAGGATGTATTCCCTGAAACTGTTCCGTGCGAATTACCGAAGGATAAAGGTATTCGACACGAGGTCGAGCTTAAACCAGGCACGAAGTACTGTGTCATGAAGCAGTGGCCACTGCCTCATGAACAAGTACTTGCGATCGACAAGTTCTTTGCCGATCGTTTAGCTGCGAGCCATGTGAGGGAATCAACTTCCCCACATAGCTCTCCGACCTTCTGTGTGCGAAAAGCAACAGGAGGGTGGCGGATAGTGCACGCGTTCAACAAATTGAACGCTGCAACGGTACCGGCTCAGACGCCGATACCCAGGAAGGACGTAATCATTGATGGTATGTCAAAGAGTACCATCTTTTCGTCCATGGATTTGATGGATGGCTTCTATCAAATCCTTATGCAAGAACGGGATATACCCTATACCGCAGTGAGCACGCCTAGCGGCATGCTCTGGGAATGGCTAGTAATGCCACAAGGGCTTAGTAATGCCCCTGCCACGTTCAACAGATGTGTATCACATCTGTTGAGACCAGTACGAGAATTCGCGCCGAGTTATTTCGATGACGTATTCATCCATAGTCGAGCTATGGATGGAAAGTCGGACGTTGAGGTTCACAGGTACCACGTCCGACAGGTTCTTACAATCATGCGAAAGCATCAATTGTATGCCAATCTCAAGAAGTGTATATTTGCAGCAAGCGAAATACCACTTCTTGGGTGCATCGTTGGTACTAACGGTGTACGTCCTGATCCCGAAAAGATCAAGGCGATCACCGACTGGCCTGTGCCGGTTGATGTCAAAGGTCTTCGAAAATTCCTTGGGCTAGCGGCGTATTTGCATAAGTATTCACGCAATTACGCCGAGATGACTGTGCACCTCTCTCGTTTGTTGAAAATGAACGAGAGGTGGTTATGGAAAGCTGAATGTCAGCGCTCCTTTGATGGTATCAAGCAGAGCTTGATACAATCCCCAGTCCTAGCAATAGCCGATCAGGACAGGCCATTTCATGTGGTCTGTGATGCCAGCGATTTCGCAATCGGCTGTGCATTAATGCAGTACGATCTTGAAGGCGTTGAATGCGTCGTCTACTATCAGTCGCGTCAGCTGCAACCAGCTGAGCGGAACTATCCAGTGCATGACAAGGAACTCCTTGCCATGAAGTATGCACTCGCGAAGTTCAGAGTCTATCTATTAGGAGATGGACCATTCATTGTTTACACTGACCATGCGTCATTACGCACGGCAGTGAACAGCCCGCACCTTTCACAACGAATGGCGCGGTGGTTTTCATTCTTTGCAGAATACAACTTTACGGTCGAGTACAAACCAGGACGACTTAATGTCGTCGCTGATGCACTCTCACGTCGTCCCGACTTTGAACCAGTCGCGAAACCCAACAGTGTGACAGCCACTGTTGCGGTTATGACGTCCTCAGTCCCATCTACAACGTTGTATGATGATGTGAGGCGGGCATACGCCCAAGATGGTGAGATTGTGAAGTTGTTGAAACATCTCTCACAACCATCTCGAGAATCGTTGAAACGATTATCGTCTGCGTATCGATCTGCATCAGATCGATACGCTACTCGCAACGGTTTACTTTATTATACAGCCGTTTCTGGTGACACACCGCGTGATGTCATTCCAGATGATACTGATCTGCGTTTGCGGATCATGTTCGAGTATCACGATGCTCCTATTGGAGGACATCGTGGCCGGGAGAAAACATATCTCACGGTGAGTCGAGACTTTTACTGGCCCCGCCAGTATCAGTTTGTGCGAAAGTATGTTCGCGCATGCGAAGTCTGCGAACGAGTGATGTCAAGTCCTTCACTGCGTGCACCTTTACAGCCTCTACCGGTTCCGGATGAGTGCTGGGAATCCATCTCAATGGATTTCGTCTTCGGGTTACCCAGAGACGCACGCGGGAATACGGATATTCTAGTATTTGTTGACAGATTCAGCAAAATGGTACACCTTGTGGCTGTACCAGAGACAACCACGGCGAGTGGCTGTGCTTGTGTCTTTATTGACACCATCTTCCGACTTCATGGGTTGCCCCGTGAACTCGTATCAGACAGAGATCCGCACTTCACAGCTGATTGCTGGCGTTCCGTGTTCAAATCACTCGGAACGCACTTGAAGATGTCGACATCTTATCATCCAGAGTCAGATGGTCAGACGGAACGTGCCAATCGTGTCCTTGAAGAGATACTTCGAGGATACGTACACTCCTTTAAGAGTTGGAGTGAGTTTTTACCAATGGAAAAGTTTGTCATTAACAACTCGGCGCATGCGTCCACGACACATACACCGTTTTACGTGGATGGCTTACGCCATCCGCGTGTACTCACCTTACTAGAGTGTAACTCTGGTTTAAGGGGGGGGAGGGACTCGCGCGAGCAAAAACCGATTAGGTTCACGCTCATCACGCTCTGACGAAGAGGTCATTGCGTTTGATGCCGATATTGATAACATCGATATCGAAGAAGATGATGCCAGTGAGTGTGCGGAAGCCCTCACTGAAGAAAAGGTTGATGTTGCTGCAGTGCACTCACAGCGCACTGAAGCTAACGAGTCATCAGATGAGTTCATACTGGCTCGTGAAACGGTAGTCTGTTTTTTGCAAGACTCCATCGCCGAAGCGGTGGATAAGCAAAAGCAAAACGCTGACAAGAATGGAAGGGCAAACACTCTTTTATTTAATAAAGGTGACTTAGTCCTACTGTCTACAGTTAACCTACCAAAGCATGTAGTGACTAACTTGGGTAGTAGTAAACTTCTACCCAAGTACATCGGCCCAATTCGTGTATTGAATCACCTAGGCAATGCATACACGATCGAGTTGCCACGTAAGATGCGAACGCATCCCACGTTTTACGTTGGTCGGCTTAAGCCGTACCATCAGTACGCTGCTTCTTCCGATGAAGAACGCCCTTGCGCTCAAGCATCTCGCAGAGAGCCTTGTGCTCCCAATGGTGGGCATCAACAAGGGTCTGAAGAGCAGATATCTCATCCCGAGACCGATCAACAATCCCACGAGCTACCCTTAGCTCGTCACGAAGACATGTCAGAGATCTCTCGTTCTCAAGCTGAGCAAAGGCAAACTCAGCTCGATACTTCGAGGCAGTTTCCGCAATTTGGAGACTTTTGTCCCGCTCATGTTCGAGATCGTCGCGTAACCCTTGCGTTACGCGATCAAAGAAGCTCTCGGGAACACACCGATTCACATGATCGTGTGGAGAGCGTCTTCCCTCCTCCTCCACCTCCATTAGAGGACTCTCGCGGTGGCCAGCGCTATCTAGATGAGCAGCTGTTGAACCACCGCGACGTGAACGGACGTCGGACGAGTTATCTCGTCCGGTGGCGCGGCTATCCCCCGTCCTGGGATTCTTGGGAGCCCCGCTCCCAATTGATGGTTGACGTACTGGGTCTAATTGAGCAGTACGACGCGGCACATCCTGTGCCGCAGAAAGACCGCCGGAGAAAGTCTTCCCGGCACGGTCGTAAAGGGGTTTCAGATTGTCAATCCCTTCGTACATCTCAGTAGAGATACGTACGCGCCACCACGGGCTGTTAAGGAGGTAAGCCTCCTTAGGTGCTCGTGCAGAGTTGTTCACACAACATGGGCACGAGTCTCCCCAAGAGAGGCAGGGTAATCCTTTCTCCCTGGACAGAAGATGCAGCTCATAGCGTGCACCTGTCGGGGTCCGCTTTTCAAACTTATCACGAGCTTTGATAAGTTTGTCGTTCCAAGCGTCACGACCTACATCCTCAAGGTTATGGATGTAAGCGTTCCATGCTTGAAGCAGTGAGGGACCATCACGTTTGTGATTCCCACTGTACCATCGATGTTTGAAGAAAGCATCGATGAAGAATTCATTCTCAGCGCGATAGGTTTTCGCACTGGGGTCAAGGTGATGAATCCTTGACGAATCGAACAATCGTGTTCGATAACGATCACTCGTTGTCGCCGACAAGTGATCCATGACGGATTTGGGAGGCATCCATGCCTTCTTTTCAGGAGCGAGACGCAACACATTGCGGTCCCGCTCTTCCTGCGACGTGCCGACAGAAGTACTGGCACCTCGCTGTGAAGTGGTGTCCATAGGAGAACCGACACCACTGTTAGCGCCCGAGTCTCGCGACCTCGAGCGCCTTTGCTTCGGCGATGGTTCATCTGATTCATCAGAGGAGCCAAAGATGCTACGACGCATAGCATCGTCCATGCCACGCTTGTCAGGCGGCTTGGATTCGATCGCCGTCGATACGGATCCGTCTTCCGTATCAGGAGAGTACGAGACACCGAGCTCGTACTCTGTGAAGACACGAGTGTCTTCATGACCAGCGCCTGCATCACCAAGTGACACAGGCTGGGTCGCTTCAGCAACCGATGAGACATCGGTTGCAGCGGTTTCTGCTTCCGTGCCTGCACAGAGACGTGTAGACGCGCTCTCAGCTGCCTTGTTCGCGCACCGCATGGGCTTGTTTACCATGCGATGAGATGTTGGAAAGTGGACTCGGACCAACAAGTGCAAACCCTGTCCCAAATGATTTGGGACGAGTATCCATTTAGTCAATCAGTCACTAAAGTGACTGATGGTTAAGGGGGGGTGATGTAACGGGGTGAATCGTTACATAACAATTTATAAGAAATTGTTAATAGAATATAACTATAAGAGTTATATTCTCAGAATATTGTCATAAGGACAAATATTCTGTAGCACTTACGAGTAGTTCCTAATTGGTTGATATAGGCCATTATATCAACCAACGAAGACGCGCCACGACAGACGCACGCAATGAGTGGTGAGCAGATAGTTGATATACACATTTGTATTGAGACATAGTTAGATGAGGATAAATAGTGATTTATTGACAGACATTAACTATGCTAAATACAGTTCTACTTTTTACTTTAACCAAGTACTCGCTTCTTCTTACCGTCTTCCTCTGCACGTACGAGTGTACGTGAAGTTCCGAGGCACCGCCTTACTCTGTCATCAGAATAAGTAGCTTGTACTGTCACCAGTACAAGCTTCAGGGTGCCCCGTTACATAGTTAATGTCTGTTAATAAACCACTGTTTATCCTCATCTAACTATGTCTGAATACAAATGTGCATATCAACTATCTGCTCACCACTCATTGCGTGCGTCTGTCGTGGCGCGTCTTCGTTGGTTGATATAATGGCCTATATCAATCAATTAGGAACTACTCGTAAGTGCTGCAGAATACTTGTCCTTATGACAATATTCTGAGAATATAACTCTTTTAGTTGTATTCTACTAACAATTTCTTATAAATTGTAATGTAACGATTCACCCTGTTACATTCTACGTACCTTTATACTGCGTACAATAGAGATACAGCAAGCGACGCTAAATTAGATTCCCTCTCGACAAGCATAATATTCCATATCGGACCGTAACAAGGTTATCCAGACTCCTCTGGTTTCCCTTGTGTTCATGATCCATCATTCATTTGCTACCACTATGTCACATGTGACATCGAGCATCTCGCGGCGGCTCCTTGTGTCGTACATATCCTTTTCTTGTACCTAAATCACCACGCGAGCGACGTCTCAGTACCGTGAACTCCCGCTACTCTGATCTTCAGCTCGATATCCGATGCTTTGGCTGTCACGTGGAACTCTCGTCAAAGTCGAGAGGCGCAATATGCTGTATGAATTGTATGTACCACGAAAGAGCGTTCAGAGACACCGAACATTGTTATGTCGGCGACGTGCTTCAACGCATGTGCACTTTGTATGTTAAGTTTGTATCGTTAATGGGGGACAAAAATGTGCCGAATGTACACGAGTTTCGATGTCGTTTCGTGCGGATGATACTGGTTAAAAACGGTTGAACTCGATCAGCGTGGGTAGGCTTGCAGACATATGCTTCTCATCGTGTCTAACAGTGTCGATGTGATCACAATGCTTCAGAATCAGCTGCTCGAATGGATGGGAGTCGACAAAGTGATAGGTCAATGCTTGCATTGGATGTCAGCACCTTTGAGGGACCTCCAGCAGCGCATGGAGGAGGAGATGAAGACGAAAACAGTCTATTGTGTAAATTCGTTGATGCTGTCCAAACGTCTACATTACGTCAGAGCAGACGATGTTTATGATGCATAACAAGACGCATTGCAGTGATCTTTGCGTGATGAAGCTAGCCAAGCTGAGGTGCTTTTTTGTGTCTTTGTCCACCAGTGATGGCTGAGTGACTAGATAACAGACCGGTCACTTCATGGAACATCATGGCTTCACTCGACCTCGATAATATTGCGTCAATTACAGCTGGGAAAATAAAAACCATACTGATGCGTTGAAGCGCCTTTACTAGCTGGCCTTGCACAGCGACCGATGTTAAGACACTCATCGACGCTGTCCGCTGCTCATAAGGCTCAAGAACTGTTCGGTACACAAGAGCCACATCCATTGCGAGCGCTGGATGCGCAAACTTAAGCAGCTGCAGGCCGAGAGATGGCGTCTCGCAACGTGAAGTCGACGCCATTCGTCGTGGATTTGCTCGTGCTCGCTGCCGTGTGGCTTGATCTTGTGCGCATGAGCTTGTTGCCTGAGAACGACTCAGAAATCAAGTCGTTTGATCTGTTTATGATCCTCGGGATCTCCCTCATCTGGTGTCTCGGTGCGCGGGATCAAGCAGGCGTAGCGCATTGCGAATCAATTTCTGCATCACTCGAAAAAGGACCAGGGCAACGCTGTGGCTTAGTAGAAGCTCATGCTAGTGGCTATGGATTACGAGGCGCTTAGGACGATATGGCCAAGTTTGGTTACGAGAGCTCGACAACCCCGAAGGATGTCAAGCCATGCAGATCTCGATTGATGTGCCGACGTTTTTGCTGGATCTGGCAAACTGTGATCTCGTACTGTTTACGTACTTGCTCATTCTGGTGGTGGCCATCACAAGCTGCGTTGTGCTCTGGTACTCGCACTCGAGACATACAACTTTTACAATTTCGCCATGTCGTCGGACTCACACCCACGCATGCTGCCGGGATTTCTTGCGGGCTAAGCCAGGTTCGCGAGATTCCGCAATGTGTGACGGAGGAAGATGAGCTCGCGGCAGTACTGGCCAAGAAACTGGTGCAGGTGGACATGATGGCCGCGAAATATATTCGGCGATCGCCAAGACCATTTTGGTGTTGCATGCTCGCTTCTGCGCTAGAAGCTTATCCCTGCGCTGCAAGGAGACCTCAACGCGATGCTGATAGAAGTGACTCACTTGGTGATAGCAGACCGGATGTCTTAGTCGTGAAGTCATGACTGCCGACTTTGCTGAATCTCATGGCGATGCAGCAGTTCTTAACACAGACATTTTGGCACAAGGATCCGCTTTTTTGCAGCTGCCACATTTGACATAGGCTGATGTCTAAGGATAATGTCACAGCAAGAACACCTTGCGTGTCGTGCGCCAATACTTTACCATGAAGCCGGAGGAACGTAAGGGTCTGGCAGTGGCATCAGAAGAAGAAAGCGCTGAAGTGAACAAGTGCTGGTCGATTGGCGTAGACGATGGAGGTAAAGAGCTTGTTGCCGAAGATGACGCAACGATGGCAACGATCAAGCTCACGCATAAGACTGTGAAGTAATTCGACAAAATGCGACTCGCTATACGTACACGGTTTTCATACTTGAAGATGGAGTGCTGGTACTGCATACTAGGCGATACGGGGCATAAACACGTACAAACTTTCTCCCCCAAAATGACATCGCAGGCGCGTGGCCGAGTTTAGTCGACAATTACAGGCTCTGCCCGAGGCTGGTACCTACCAGTTGTGTGTATCATCCGTCAAGAGTGATTCATACCCCACCTGGACTTGCGCTCTGTTGCTAAGGTGGGCGTTTCCGTAATCATGCACGTTGATATCCAGGTCAGATGCTCGGGTGCTGATCCTGTATGTCGCCATTTGTGTCTACAGTTTAACGTTGTTTATGCATCCATGTTCCTGGTCTGCCGACCGCATCTCGAGGGCTTGGAGCTGGTAACGAGTCTGCACTTTTGAGCAGGTAATGAACGTTTCTGACCCAAGTGATGGGAGAGAATGAGGATCCGGACTTGGAGCTGGATCTGGAGGCGATCGAGAAGAAGGTTGAGGAGAGTGAGAAGATAAACTGAGCGCGATCGCAGCTGGTCAGTCTGATTTGCTGTAAATGGCACGGCAATAGTGACGGCGTGTACTTGGTGTTTGTTGACGAGCACGCCATGCTTGCATGCTTACGACGTGGACACATACAGTAGCTGACTCACCATACTGAGCAGCAAGTGGATAGCCTTGTTGCAAGACTTGAGCAATCGTCCGACCACCGACGAGCTCAGCATTTGGTGAAGGTGTGTTCGTATCAACCTACTACTTAGCAGAGTGCCGTGAAGACCGTCAAATACCACAATCCCAGCCCGAGCCTCTTTCCAGAACTGCAGCACGTATTCATAACCCTTGCCGGTCTCAACGGCTATTCTCAATGATCGACACACGCCGTCCCCGGTGCGATTGCTGCCGACGATGGCGCAGACTCGATGTGATGGAAACTCAGACAGCAGCTGCGGTGCTGATGTGCATCGCCTGGCGTGGAGTTGCTGCTAGCGTGACGGTTGTGCCGTATAATTTGCTCGTTGTCCGTAACGTGCAATGCCGACGCATCGTGAGCACCGAAGAGCACCGTCGCCACGACCAAAGGAGACTGGCTGACTGATTGACCGACCGAGCGAGCGAATGACTAAATGATCAATATGGTGAACGAACTTGGTCGGTCTTAATAACGAACGAAGAGCGAGCGAATTAAGCAGACAGAGCATAAGCCATCGGACACTGCAGTAACTTCTCTCGCACTTTTCGTTCATTCGACGTTGACGTCGTGAAAAAAGGCACGACCGAGAAAGGTCCGATGGTATCACTGTTGTGCTGCTCTTCTGCCGTCGCCGATGGCAGTTTCGTGTAGCAAGCATCGTGGCGATGTGACGAGTACAAGTTCCTGAACCATCCAGATCGAAGGTTTCGTGACTCTTGCAAGACCTCACGCGGTGCTGAACGAGATGTGGCGCGCTACAAAGCCCAATCTTGACGCAGTTTGAGCGCGAATTTCGTGCAGAGAACGACATGCGTTGGCAAGATCGAATCCTTTAATCGGTACGGGCTGGTGATGCCATTGGTGGGTCGTCTTAAGTCAGCTTAGTTTTGAGATTCCGACGAAACGGCGCCTGTCGAATAGCAGCATGAGCAAAAATGCCGATGACAGCGAGTCGAGTACAGCAGCAAGTGGATGCTCTCTGTCGAAGGCTTTCGAAAATGAATACGGCAGCAACCGACAGACCGATATGGAGCTGGACCCGTAAGACGGGCTGTTGCTGGATTGTACTTTGATTCGACGGAGGGGGACAGCAACTTGTCCGTTGAGTTGTTTGCTTGCAGTGTCGAATGTCAGCGGTGTCGTGGCAATGATTAATTACTACTACCAGATGTAAATCCTGGACGGCACAGCAATGCCGAGGTCATTTTGAATCTCGAGAGAGTTCACAATTTACCATTGTGGACAAAATCCGCCGGACATGTAGAGCTGGCAGTGCGACGGATCACTTGTTGCAGGTCTCGTTTGCACTTGTGGTAGCGACAGAGCCGTAGCAGTTGAGGCAGAGGTGGTGTTTGATTTTTGACGGAGAACCGGCGTTGAATGCAGGCGGCGTCATGAGCGGATGGTATACGACGCTTTTCGCTAAGATGTTGGTCCGACATTCGGACCACTTGCGAGCACAGAGGGATGAGAGCGAAGTTGGTTGGATTAAAGTGAGCTCAAACTCTCTTGTTGATCAAGATGACCACTTGGTCTACTTGGTGATTGCTGGACGGCTCGTGGGTAGGCGATTCCAAAGAGCATTTGGTACCAGTTCACTCTTGCGCTGTCACTCTTCGATTGGCGTACCAATATCCTTTGCCGACTTGTAATTGTGTGACGATGAGACCGACATTGGTATGTTGATAGTCAAAACGACCGATGATGTAGAAATGCAGTGTCGAGACTTGAAAGTGACTCGTGTTGTGGACGGCCGTGCGGCTGCGGCTTGTTGAAGGTGGCGCTAGTATAAAAAACGTGGTACGAAAGAATCGCTCGCGTCACTTGGACGCTCTCGTGAAGTACCGTGTGCTAAGAAGCGTGAGTAACCAGCTGCTGTCGTTCATGTACGGCGATGTATGACGTGGTGGCCTGAGGGGATGCTCAAGGTGTGTTTTACTGCCAAGAGCTCGAATCGCGTACGTGTGGAATGCCATCGATCGACGTGGACAACTAGAAGAAACAAGCGGACTGTAAGTTTGGTTCGCGTAACTTCCCCCGGAACTCGAACTGGACAGTGTTGAGTGGTTCCGTGTAAGCAGTCGAAGTGCGATGGCTGCATTTGCTTGTGCTGTTCACGGCATACACCGGTCGTGCCAGCGTAGGGGTTCGAAGATTGATCGGCAGCGGCGGTGGTGTAAGGCGGCTCAATGGTGCCTATATGCCGGCAGGACCACCTGCCACTGCTATCCCGAATGTGCATACATAGTTGAATCGTCTAGATCTGCCAATCGACAGCTTGGAGGAAGCGCTAGTGGAGCACACGTACCTGATTGTAACAGTTGGTCATCACCGATTTTACTATCGAGTGAGCGGCATGCTGCGGGTCGAACTATTTTAAAGCAGGAGCAAGGAGAGGTAGCTAATTCGTGAGATGTGTAAACAATGTAGACGCCGGACGAATTGTCAGCCACGCGATGGGTCTTGGGTGCCAATGGAATAGAGGAGCCAAGAGCCGTTATTGGTGTAGAAAAACGTTGTGAATGCGCAAGTCCGATCGATTATGAAGAGCTCAAAAATTACTTTGCCAAGTTACAGGACACTCACGGTTCAAAGCGTTTGCTCTTCCCACTATGCCCGCCGGATTCAAGCAACCTCAATCATCCGAACGCTGCACTGGTCCCGCCAAAAAGCGTGTAAGGGTGTCTCCGTTGGCAGAGTTCGAGGAATTCTCGCTAGAAAACGTTGTGGCCAACACGAAGACCGGTGCTGTTGCTGCTCACCTACCGAAGACCGTTCTATTGAAGCTGTTTGAACAAGACGCGACGGTCCAGTATCTCACCTCCGACCACAAAAGCTGGGTCTATATTGTGCCACGATGGTACTGGCATATCTTCGAGCACGCCAAGCCTGAGGAGCTTCGTTCAGCAGCTGTAACGGAGTCGCCTGTGACCTGGTCTGCCATGTTCCAGCAGGCATGGGAAGCACACCCAAGGGATCATGACACTATCGTGATGTTTGGCAGACGAACGAAGCTTCCGCGATTCCAGCAGCTATGCGGCGAAATAGGAAGTTACCGATACTCTGGCAGGACATTTGAAGCCCAAAAGACGTATCCGCGGGGATTGAGACACGCTATCCAGCACATGCAGGGCATTGTAAGGGACCCTGCCACGCGGCAGACAAGACTCACTGGAGGTCTCGTGAACTGGTACGAGAATGGAAACCACTACATTGGGCTACATGCCGACGACGAACGTGACATGATGGCATGCTCTCCTATTGTTTCATTGTCACTAGGAGCTACTAGGCGCTTTGTGTTTACAAAGAGGACCTCAAAGAATGCTCTAAACGATGACGTGGCTGTAGCGCGAATGGAGTTGCAGGTTGGAGATGGCGATGTGATGATCATGGGTGGCGCGACGCAAAGAACCCACAAGCACGCGGTTCCAAAGATGACTCAATGTCGTGAGCCAAGAATCAGTGTCACCTTGCGCTGCTTCCAGTAGGCGCTTGATCTTTTACCCCTTCTGGATCATTCATGCGTGACGTATGCGCAACTACGTATCATGATGGTTGTTCCATGACCGGTTGGGACACGCGTCGGAGACATGGCACCGCGTCAAGCTGGGAAGAGCGCGAAGAAACTGAGTGCGATATCAGGCGTTATCATGGGTTCTCAGTTACCGGTTGAAGTAGAGAAGAATCGTTACGCGAATGAACAACAAGTACAATTGGCCAAGTGTCGAGGCCTTCTCCCATCTTCTACGGGCAGCGTAACCTTCGTGATGCCTGGGCCATGCTTTCATACGTGGTTAATGTTGGGAACGATGCAGGCTCATAGCAACGTTTATCATAAATTTTGCCTTTACTAACTCAAGGTGGCGAGATAACAGTAACCAAATGAGTCCAAGGTTTGAGACGATCGTCCAGCATTAGCGGCTCGTGGTCCGTGCATGATCATACGTAATCGGCCGCTTCGAAGGTTTCGTTTCACCGACAGCTTACCTGTGGAAGCTCTTATCCACAACGTAGGGTCAACGATGAAAACCTTCTAACGTGCATCCCCACAAGCCAGGGCAGTTATCGTACAAACACCTGCGCGGGTGACTGTAATTTGTGTCAACCATACCAGCAGCGCTGCACAAGCATTGGCCGAATCTCATCATCGAATGCGCTAGGAACGACATTGTGGCTGGCCATGTCTTCCTCTCAAGTATACAAAGAACGGACAGATAGCGCACTCATGCACAGTTACATTCGTTGGGCACTTTGGCTCGACACGCGTTATTCGAGAAACATCAGATGCAACCAGGAGGTCGACGAGTGGAAGCAAGAGGACAGAGCACAACAAGACATGCCACATTACAAAAAGCTACGACCACGTTTCGTTTAGTTGTTCCCAACGCTCAGCGTGTGAACAACTGAACGAAACGTGGTCGTAGCGCTTACAATTTAAGCTTGCTGCGATGTCTATCCATTGCGATGCTACTCATCGATACATAGCGGTCTGCAACAACTTTTGCGATGTAATCCTCGTACTTGTCGCAAGCCTCCGTCACGAGATTTACAACATCTTTGTGTTTAAGTCCCCTGACGATCCAGGAGGCGAACTGTGCCAATTCGAGTGCATGCAATTTTGCTGACGTTCTGTCTTGCATTCTCATGTCATAGATATGTCGCGCCACGAGTCCACGATTGTTTCCACTGTTCACAAGTAAATTATTATACCGTACAACGGCCGGATCGTTGCTCGATAATATCTTCCGAAGCGATTTCATCGCATGCTGAAAATCTTTGCCATGCAGTTCTTCCACCGGTTCTAATACGACAGCAGGAGGTCTATCTCGTGGAAATTTTTGGAAACGGGGAGCAATCGGATCGACACTATTTTGTTGCTTGTGGGCGATGGCGCCAGCGACGTGTGTCACGCCTTCATTCTTGGGCTTAGCGCCAGCGACGTGTGTCACGCCTTCATTCTTGGGCTTAGCGCCAGCGACGTGTGTCACGCCTTCATTCTTGGGCTTAGCGCCAGCGATGTGTGTCACGCCTTCATTCTTGGGCTTAGCGCCAGCGACGTGTGTCACGCCTTCATTCTTGGGCTTGCGTAACCTGGAGAATAAAGTAGAAAATGCATTGAGCTTGTCCTTGAGCCATTTGGATGCGTTCTTCAGCATTGCAATCGCATTTTCCATCAAAAAGAGCGCTCTTTCTCCACGGTTTTCCAAGTCGTGGGCAGCTGTCAAGGGCCCCAAACCGTTCGTGTCCTCAGCTCCATCAGTGCCAGATGCCCGGACCTCCAACCCTTCGAGGCCTGATGCGTGATCGACGAGGACGAGGAGCACACAACTCACGGCGAGCGCAAACAGGTAGAACGATCGCATGGCTGTCTTTAAAGTGGCTTGAATAGAATGCTATTTAATGGAGTACAAACCTGAAATGAGCAGACAGTCTGCACGGAAAACCCGGCGATTTATAAAGGGATTTCCTGAAAAATCGATTTACTCGCTAAAAAGCAAGTGGATAGATAGCCTCCAAGCGTAAACCAGCCAATCAAAACAGGGAGTACGTACTAGTACGCTACATTACAAAACCATGGATAATTAAAAAGCTATAGAAACTGCTTTAACATAGAGATTTGCCCCAGTTGCCGCGCGAAGTACACTTGTACGAGCGTGAAGGGTTACAGCCCGGCAAGAATATCAGCAATTACGACAGAATAAGCCCTCGCACAAGAAAAAGCTAGTAGCAATATGAACAGCGAAAAAACAGTAGTTGATTATCATGCAGCGTGGGAGCCCTAGCAAGATTGGTACAAGTGGTCGTCAAAGGAGTGTCGTTGCCGATTGCGATTCCACCTACCCCTCCTTGGCGAATTAAGCAAGCAGGTGAGACTACGGCACGATGTGTCACCATTTGTCAGGTTCATAGTCCACTGTTCGAACTTTATAAAGTGAGGTAAACAAGCACGTAAGCACAGCCGAATCATTTTGTTGAACTTTGTCTAAGAGATGATTCGTTAGATTGTTGGGTGTGATGGTGTCATTCCTGTGCACAGCGCATCCACACCTTCCTTATAGCTGGGGGATGACCCAATATAGCTAGTCTTAGTACAGCAATCGCGAAGCCATTTCGCCCTGTATATGCGTCTCCATCTTCCTTTGACAGCTCTAGGTTGTCAAAGGTTCTGCTGGAAGGGGACTAAAGGAAGATTACCTAGTGTTACTCATTATGGTGTTTAAAGGGATGGGTACATAAGGAAGGTTGGTTGGTTCAGATGGTCTTTTTGCACGGTGTGATCTATTCGCTTGTACATCTATCAATTGCTGAGCCAAAAGGTGAGCACCGGAAATCCCAGTGGCAGATACTGGCAGGTCCTTAAGACACAGGGACGATTCTGGGTCCGCAGACCGGCGGCTCGTGTCATGATGGCGAGGTTTAGTTCATATGGGGTCTTCAACCCCAGAAGCTGTTGACAAAGCAGGAAGACTATCGTGTGCTACGCCACCGATTATGGGGGACGTGAAGTACGGTCATCGAAATGACACGAGGCGCGGGGGATGCCACCCGCTATTACACATTCCCCTTCCCTGCCTACGTACGACCCATGGGTGCGTGAGAGGCATGCCCAAGTCGTGACCTTTTCCTTTTCGGCTTCCGCGAGGGATAATTCCTGCCGAAAGGGCTTCCCTTATCTAACTTCCAAGGTTTAAATCGAATTGAGCGCAGCTGAAAATAATTAGGAATCGGTATCTATGGAAGGGTCCGTGGAGGCAAGGGTATGAAGAAGTCGCGAAGCGGCTATTGTAAAGAGGTATAAAGTTTAGAGGAGACAACTGGTAGTCAGGAGTAAAATGGAAAGTGTACTATTCGTTAGAAAACTTACACATGCATTCAGCTACTCCTTTGCAGAAGCACTACAAATGTCATACATGAGTTGTTTCTTTCTTCGTGTATCCGAACGACGAAGTTTTAGTTTCTGTGTCCGTTCCAAAACGACCACACTCAAATGTACACAAAGCGTACGTCATCAGCACCTCACCTCGACTAGAAGTCCCGACTATTGTCTTTGCCAGGAGAATCTAGAACTTGTTGGTCGTAATTTCTTTTGTCAGAAATCGGCGAGCTATCAGTTTTGTTTCAATGTGTTTCAGCCGTATGACCTTGGCGGTAACGGGGCACCCTTTGCCTGGGACGCCACGAAACTTCACGTACACTAGTACGTGCAGAGGAAGCTAATCTACTCAAACTGCTAGTTTGAGCAAAGGTACAAAGAAAACTGTATGTAATATAGTTAAGCTACCAATAAAACTTCAGCATGTATCTAGCAATACTAATTTACATTGTCGTATGACGACAACCTGCTCACCACTCATTACGCGCGTCTAGCAGCGATTGGTGGTAACCTTGGTTGATATATCTTTATCAAGCAGTGTTTGAGTGGCGCATGAATATTATCCTACAAGGGAATAATGTTTCTTCAATATTATCCATCTCGGATAATATTAATAGGAAATTGTCACGCTAGACAATCTCCCTATTGACACCGTTTGGTGTCAATTTCATGTAACGGGCTACCCCGATACATCACCCCCTCGACCATCAAATTCTCGCTGATTAAATTTAACTGTTTGGGACAGAGTGACCACCGTTGGATCACTCTGGGAAAGGGATCACTTGTTGGTCAACTTCTAACTTATTTGCCAATTCATCGCATGTTGTCGAAGTCCATGCGGTGTGCTGCCGAAGCAGCAATAAAGGCGGTTGCACGCATGCGTGCAGCCGTAGAAAGTTCTTCTCTTGCTTCAGCAGCGGGTGATTCTTCGCCTGCTGTTGCGATTCAGCAACATGCGGTGCCTGTTGTGAATAGTCCATGTGGTGAGTCACCGCGTGCGACAGATACATCCGCTGTGTCTGCAGCGGGTGCTAAAACTTGCAATGTAGATGAGCCTGAAATAGAACTCATCTATCTTGGCGAGTCGGATGGTGCATCCGACTCGAAGGCGACACCTCACGCCTCCGGATAATCTATGGCGGACACTGCAATAGCAAGGTGAAATGGCTGGAGGAACGTGGCGGCATCATGTCCGAGATCTTCGGACCGAGCGATTCGTCTGACGAATCCTCGTCTCACGGAAGTCCATCTGATAATAGGACGCATATTGATGGTGGTGTCGCACTTATACGTCACCACGAGAAAAATATTCGAGGAATCGAGCTGCCACTGGTGTCAGTGCTCATGCTGAAACCACTCAAGAGGCCAGGGACCACAATTTCCTACGACATTCTCCTCAAATGGAGTTTCCTTGGATGCCGTCTTTCAAGGAATTAGATCGAGTGGCCGGGATGACCACCGAACGGGATCGAATTCGGCTGTTCGACTGTAGGAGGATCTGTCCTCCTTATTCCAGCACGAAAACTATCCGCGTTGAAATAGAATTTACACCGATGTGTCTTTTAAACCTTGGGTGTACAATAGCAAGCGTGGCCGGGACGGTAAGGCCTTGGT